AACTGGCATAGCTGCGAGTACAACGGCACTAGTCAGCCGGTAGCATTTAGTTGCATGTCTTATCTATGATTTTTATGTTATCAATGTAATTGTCTAAAGGTAATCGTGTTCAGCTGCTGTTGGTCGTGATAAGTTCAAACATGATAGTGCAGAATGTATGTCATTGAACTTGATTTACCGTACACTTTGATCGTGCTATATCAGAAAACATGTGTTAAAACGATCTTTACATTACGAATTTGAGTGAAACAAGACTGTGAATCATGTTAACAAATTCTCCAGCTTTTGTCACTAGCATTTTAGCTGTGGGCTCTGTTGTTTCTTACGTAATCGGGCGTCGGTTGATTCCCCAATTGGTTTGGTTAGGACTTATTGGGATTGTGAGCACAGGAAGACGGTATAAATGGCTATATATATTATACAAGACCCTGCCTCGTGATCTTCTGTAAGTAAAAACACTTGTTATTTATTATTAAAAAAATCCTGTTCCCAAAATCACCGAAACAGCAAGTCATCACCATATTGTGGTGATGGTAATAACACACATGTTCATAAATAACCCAGAAGTCCCAGTATAGCTAACGACAGCAAATGATGACCGACCAGCAAACCAACAAACACTGCTTATTACAGTTAGATTTCTGTGTCTGTTATACCATGTCAGAATCGCTGAAATGGTTTCGGTTAAGAAAGTGAGACGTGCAAGTTGTATTGAAATGGAATGTACATGTTTTCGTAAAGTAAATAAGAAAAATATATACCTCCTACTCATTCTCAACCTCGGCACTAGGTGGGGTTGAGCTGTTAGCGTCACGCCCCGGCCGCGCTTTACCACCGGTTAAAGGATTCCCGGTACCAATTGGTCAGGATGTAGATGCTAGCAGAAAACCCTCTGGCCTTGTCAGGGATCTGACTCCGGTCTCCCGGACCTAACCTGTTGTCTGTCATGGTACTAAATGAGCTTCCAGGATCTTGCTTACACGTATTACAAATTATTTTCAGTGCTGCATTGGCATTTATTTTCATTTAGTGTGGATGTAAGTAAGTTCTTGTAAAGTTGATTGCACTGCTGAGGGTCAAGAAATTGCCCTTTTACCATTTCTTTGGAAGTTATATGTTCCTTCAAATTGTTGGTAACCACCTACAAGACCACATGGTGTCACAACCCAGAAAACCATGACAGACATATTACCACTGTGAGAACCTGAAATCTAATCTGGTTACAAAATGCTTTTCTAGTATTTTGTAAAACATTTTCCACATTGAAAAATGAAAACAAAGATTTTAATGATATATGTATTTGATATCATGTATAACTTTTTGTAGGATGAACCCCCACTCCAGTCTTCAGGTTTGATTAGGACTTTATATAAAGCAAGGTGTGTTGTATTGGACAGCTGTGAACCAAAATTAGTGTAAACCCCTTTATACCAAATTTAATTAAAATATGTTTATCGGTTTTGATAATAGAACATTTTAGTGGAGGTATGTGATCTTTCTGATATGCATGCTGCATCATAATTAAAAATCATATTCTCTTGTTATTCATAGTTGTTTATTTTTGTTGTTTTTCAGGGCAATGTACCGCTTTACAAAATTGAATATGTTGCTGTGGTGGTGGGAGAAACATAACATGACAATCCCCAAAGTTTTCTCTGAATTGGTGAAGAAACATCCTGACAAAGTTGCATTTTATTTCAACAAACAGCAGTGGACATTTGCTAAGGTATCGTATAAGGCATGATGTGGTGTCATTCATGAATAACTGAGAAATGAAGTTTGAGTGGTGAAATAGGGTCACTACACAAATAACTGTTACAGAAGCCTTTGCAGGTGATCATTTACTTTGATTTAAATAAAATTATGTTATAGATTTTACAGTTTTAAATAGTAACATGTATGACTTATATTCAGGAATTACATTAAATCCACTTGATACATTCTTGTATAATAATTGTATGACTTATATTCAGGAATTACATTGAATTCACTTGATACATTCTTGTATCATAAGTATTCCCTTGTAAGATATTAAAATTTTGTAGTCCCTTCATATTGCCCATAAGACTTTTTGCCCCATATGAATGGTTCTGGCATAGTACGATTTCCAGTATAAGATGTTAAAATGCGTTGTAGCCGATCAAGAGACAGCATTATACCAGGAGGCTGATGCTGTGATTTGTCTTTCTAGGTTGAAGAGTTAAGTAACAGTGTGGCACATTATTTTAAATCTGTGGGTGTGAAACGGGGACAGACAGTAGCCCTATTTATGGAATCAAGACCAGAGTACGTGTGTATATGGCTTGGTTTGTCAAAGATTGGAGTAGCTACTGCATTGATCAACTCAAATCTGCGGCAAACACCTCTTGTCCACAGTATTAGAGTTGCCAACTCTCGAGCTATTATCTTTGATTCAGAACTGGCCAACGGTGAGTTTTCACTATTTTCTAGCTCTGTAGATCTGTAATACAGTATTAAAACCCTTACTTGGTAAGATTTGGACCAGATACTTGGTCGAATTAAAGAATTTTTCAGATTTTACATTTAGTATAGTGATCTTTTATTGTACACTTGTTCTGCTGCAAACTATTTGCATGATTTAGAAGACTCCTCCAATAATTTATCTGCAGTTTAATGATTACTTGACAGTTTCAGAAGATATATTCCAGAACACTTTTTAAATTTGGTTACTGGCCTGTCCATACTACAAACATTATTCCAGAGTAGAAATACTTCTTAGCTCACCGTCTCAGTCCCCATATTAGTAATGTCTTTGATTTACATAGTATGTGCATGTCATTCTTCTGCCCGCAAGCTAGTGACGTAGGCAAACACACAGGTTGATCCTGGGTGCAGTACATGACATATGAAAGTATTAAGATTATTATTTAGCATTCCACCACTTTTAATACTTTGAGATCAATTTTATTTCCGTGTGTAGAGCTTCTGATGGTACGGGATGATGTCAGAGACCTGCCTTTGTACCAGTATACTTCTGGCAGCATAGACAAGACGCTGCACCCTGATGTCATTGATCTGTTGCCTGCTCTCACTTCCTCTCCATCTGGTCCTCTGTTTGAAGACTTGTCTGAGAGTTCATATCGTGATAATGTTCTGTACATCTTCACGTCAGGAACTACGGGAATGCCCAAAGCTGCTGTGATCACGCATCTTCGGTATGTTCATTCAAGTGTTGTTTTCTTTAATTTAACACGTTTAATCGACTCTGTTCATCATTTCCTTAAAACTTCATTTTTGAATATGTAACATTCTAATTGTGTTAATTGCAATTTTATTATGTACGAGGCTCGTCCACAAAGTAAGTTTCCCTGGGGCCGTTTACAGAAACAAAATACAATTTCATGGAAATATTTATTGCAACAGATACAGCAAGTGTCCAGCTATTTTTCAACATATTCACCACCGGAATTGAGACATTTGTCATACCGTGGGACCAACTTTTGAATACCTGTGTCGTAGAAGTCTGC